CAGTTTATTTAAAACACATCAATCAATCAATCCAAACGCGGAATTCAAGCAGACAAAGGAAGATGACGATGACGATTTGGTCTGACTTCCCAATCCAAACCTAAAAAACAATACAAATTTCAATGCAAAAGAAAGAAGAAGAAAGAAGAAGAAAGATCTGAGCTCTGTGTCATAACTTCAACCAAAAGTTTCACAAAACCCCAAACGAAAACAATTTTTTCAAATGTGGGAGAGAATTTTAATACCTTATTTTTACCAAAAACAAAAACAAAAACAGTGGAACAAACTGATCCACAATTGCCTTGTTTTTTTCCTTTAATGTAATCATAAAAAGTTGAACTCACAACTTTTATTTTTAATTCATCTTTTTTTAAAAATGGTAAGCATCTTGGTTTGGAGGGCGTCGGAAAGCAACCTCGTTCACACACCCCACACAGCATGGTCAAACAAAACCCATGGTTAATATCTATTTAATTTATGTATTGTTAACCCCAAAGTCTTATTTGGACAAATATTTAATATTGGACACGAGACAGATATCCCCTAGCTTTTCTCTTGTAAAAAAAATCCCCATTCAATTACTTAATTTAATTCTCATTAAATAATTTGGAATTAAATGAATGAAAATTTGATAATATCAAATGGATGTTGATGTTAAGATTATAAATTTATGAAATATATACGGTTCGGTTTGATATATGGATATTGTTGTGACATCCGCAATTAAAAAAAAAGAAATTATTAATTTCATTATCACTTATTATATTCCTATTGTTGACTTATTCATTTTATGGAAAAACCTTTAACCATATAATACCGACATATAACATGAATTAATCCCATTATTGTAGCTATAAAATATTTATTATTATTGGGATTTCTCCAGTTTCAAGTTGAATTAAGTAGTGTTTTAGAGAATTTTAATTTGTTAAAAGATTGATTTGGGTGTTAAATTAATAGGTCAATTAGGGATGAATGAAGTACAGAAAGGTAATGTAAACGCGATTAATGATTATAGTTAAATGTATGACCAAAATTAATCCAAAAAAAGTTTAATCAAATATTTAAGGAGGGAATGTGAGTTTTAAAAATATTTTGACCAAGGTGGGACCCAAAAATATAGTAGGATATAAATAAGGTGAAATGTTGTCGATGTGTCAAATTTGTATTTGCTGTTATTTAAGGGTCCACGCGCAGTAGATTGATTACGTATACACATTCGTAATCCATAGCCCAAAATGATGTTTTTTTAGAGAAAAGAGTTTTGTTAAAAAAATTCCTGTTTCCACACTATTTAAAACAATAAGAACTCGGTTTCCATTTCGGAAAAGAACAAAAGCCATTTCTATAAACTTTTTGGTTTTCTATTTAAATAAAATAAACAGAAATTTAAAAAAAAAAGAAAAAGAAAATAGTGGTTTGGGGAGAGTTTTTGGTGGCTATATAAACAAATACTCGCTTTGATTTCATTCTCAAACCTCTTCCTTAGCTTCCTCTTCTTCTTCTTCTTGTTCTTCAAGGAGATAGATCAGTTTGTAAACACAAATTTAGCGATTCAAAAATGGAAGGGACACAGTCGAGATTCAAGAGGATTTGTGTGTTTTGTGGAAGCAGTTCTGGGAAGAAGCCTACCTACCAATCTGCTGCTGTGGAGCTTGGCCAAGAACTGGTATTTTTCTCACAATCCATGATCTGGGTTTTCATTTTCATGCATCTTAATCATTCGTTGTTGCATTTTTTTCAAAACCCATTTTGAAAAATTCCATCTTTTTTGTTTCCCAAGTATTGTATTTTGACTTTGGGTAGCAAATCAACCGTAACTTGACATAAAGTCATTCTCTCAATATTCCTCTTTGTTAAGACAAATGAAGCTTTTTCTTTAATCTCTTTACCTTGTCAAAAAGTCCTCTCTTTCCATTTTCATATCACAACTCGCCCACTTAAGGTTTTTGAACTCATCATCTTCAACCTCGAGGGAGAGGGAGAGGGAGAGAAAGAGAAAGACAGTGAGATTTGAGCTGTAACCCGCCTGTCAGTTGAGCAGCCTTCTTGCATGATCTCAACATGTTTTAATTATCAAATTTATATAATTTAAGGGTTTGTATAAATATTATCAACTGGGAAACCAAACGTGCTTGCTTGACATGATGAGAGCTTGTATGAGCGTTCTTCATATCACACCCTTCTGTGCCCCATTTTCCCCATTTTTATTATCATTATTCCTCAAATTAATGGTCATTTCATTTCCCAATTCCCCATTTCTTGGTTAAAAAATTCAAAATTTCCCTTTTTTTTTTTGTTCTTGTTGTTGTTGTTGTTTAATGATGATTCAACTGCAACGCGTGTTGATTGATGATGTGTTTGAATTTTTAATGTTTGAAGGTGGAGAGAAGCATTGATCTTGTTTATGGAGGTGGGAGCGTGGGATTGATGGGTCTTGTTTCTCAGGCTGTTCATGATGGCGGGCGCCATGTTCTAGGGTTTCTTTCTCTTTCCCTCTTTTATAAATAAATTTCTTTATAATTTCCCCTCTTCTTCTTCAACTTAAGATGATTACATTATGAGCTTTACTTTCTTTTCTCAAACCAACTTAACTTAATTAGCTTTGGTGTAGTTTTTGAAAAACCTCTTCTTTTTTACCTTTTCCATTCTATTTTGTAATAAAGAATGGGTAAAACAAGGCAGCAGTCAAAAAGTAGTTCCTCTTTCAGACCAATTAATTTACAGTCAAGTTCTTGTCTGTAAAAAGATGGGGATTTGACAACAATCCCACTCCAAACCCAAACATTTGGGGTTCGAATGTCTATTGGATTTATGTTGTCCCCTCATGTTCTTTCTCTACAATATGGAAAGCCGACAGTTTTATTTCATTATTATTTGTAGACCACCGAGGAATTTATGGCTTTTGAATTCCAACACTACTTTCAATGTCAAATGATTGTTAGTAACCTCGTTGTTTTTTTTTTTAATTTACTGTTTTGCAGAGTAATTCCAAGGACCCTAATGACTGTAGAGGTACATAAACAAAGAAGTTTGCATTTGAAGCATATTCCCTTTGCTATGGATGAATGTTTACTGAATTTATAAGTCTTGATATGTTTAGATAACTGGTGAGAGTGTTGGAGAAGTTAAACCCGTGTCGGATATGCACCAACGGAAGGCCGAGATGGCTCGACAAGCCGATGCTTTCATTGCTTTACCTGGTACTACTCATTCTTTGATCGTTCCATATGAATAGCACAAAGATTTTGGGGATACAAACCGTGGTAATAGCTTATTTTGTGCATAAAAATTGAAACTTGCAGGAGGATATGGGACGCTTGAAGAGCTTCTTGAAGTTATTACATGGGCACAACTTGGAATCCATCGCAAGCCAGTGAGTACTAAAACAATCTTCACTTTTTTTGTATCCATTTTTATCCGTTTAGGCTACAATGGCAGACAAGTCAAACATTTGGTCTCATCTGGAGATGACATTTCGTGTTAAAGCCATAATGATACATATATTAAAAAAAAGTTGCATTGTCTTTGTTTGAAAATGTTGAAATCATAATGATGGCCCTTTCACATGATATCCATGTGTTCTGGTTTGGCCTTCCATTTTATAATTCCATGATTACTAACCATATGGTTTCCCATGTCTGTTGGAAAGAACCCACCAAAAAAGATCCCATTTTTCAACACCCTTTTGCTTGACAAACAAGTAAGGAATCCCTTTTATCCAAACCAAAATTTAGTTAGTCCACTATAGGCGTCGGTCGGGTACTTGGGATGAGTCAATATGAGTTCATTCGAGTCAACCCAACCCTTAAACCTAATTCGTCCGACAATGACTGACAAACCCTTGGAATAGAGAATCAAAACATGTGAGTGTTACTCCCAACTCACATGGGAAAGATTTGGAGCTTAAAAGATTTCCCTTCAAAATTCCCCAATTATAACACAATAATGAAATTGGTGGTCAAACAAATCTCTTTGATTTTTTTTTGTTAGTTAAACATTGATTAAGAACACAATTAATTATAAAAAGAAAATGAATAAAATTTGCAGGTGGGACTGTTGAATGTGGATGGATATTACAATTCGTTGCTGAGTTTCATTGATAAGGCAGTTGATGAAGGCTTTGTGTCGCCAACCGCACGTCGTATTATTGTGTCTGCCCCAACTGCCAAGGCTTTAGTGAGACAACTTGAGGTACTTTTATTTATTTATTATTATTTTAATTACTTTTTAAGGGCAGTGTGTCTCTGATTCAAAGGCTAACTTCACAGTTAAGGGCACTCCCTACACTTTCCCATTCCTACGGAAATGGGCAGTGTCCCACTTGACTTGTTTAATTAAATTAAATATAATAATTTCTGGGTCTTAATTGCGTTTCGAGGCTTTAATTATTCTCTAATTACCTCCACTGGTACACGATAATTAAACTAATTACAAACCGGCCCCTGGAGAATGGGGAATTTTTGGCCTTTTTTTTTTTTTTCTTTTCTTTTTTAATAATAAAAGTCTGTGTGTTTTGTGGTGTAATTAATTACGGCAGGAATACGTACCGGAGTACGACGAGATAACGTCACAGTTGGTGTGGGAAGATGTTGACAGGAGAAGTTACGTGGCCGAATCAGAGATCGCCACGTAATTCATGAAAAAGCAAGGTCAAAGTGGCGTTACTTAGGTATATAAATATAAATATATAAACCGTTATATATCTTTATGAGCACAGGATGCGATCTTCGCATTGCAACTTCCAACACAGGGAACTATCCTTTTCATTTTTCATTTTTCATTTTTTTTTTGGTTGTGGGCAATTTGGCCATTTATGTATACTTGTTGGAAGTGAAAAGAAAAGAAAAGAAAAGAAATTGGAAACAAAAAGGCTATTTTTTTTCTTTCCAATTATTAATATTGTTTAGAAAATGGTTATTTTAAAAAAAAAAAAAAAATGGTATGGATTTGACTATTTTGAATAGGTGTGGTGGGCATGTGAGGCACATGTTTAATGATTAATGTCCTAATTTTGTATTAGTTGCATGATTAGATGATTGTGTGTTTAAGCAATCAAAACAAATACCAAGTTGTGCTAAGTCATATGCTTTCCCCATAAAACAAGCACAAACACCAATAAGCTATGAAGAACAATAAAATTTGTATGTGGGTGGGTTCTTACCAATATGGTAGCTATGAAGAACAATAAAATTTGTATCTGGGAAACAAAATGGGGTTTTGATTAAAAGCTTGCAGGACTATCATCCAATTGACTCTCATCTTCTATTTCAACCTCCAAAATCTCCTGCATCAACAACACCTCTCTTAACTAACTATTCATATACAAAACTGTTTACCCAAAATCAATCAATCCAAACCTAAACAAAACACTAAATTTTAATCAAACACAGACTCTAATATTCTTTATTAATCCGTCAAAAATGTAGAGACAGAGAAAGAGAGACTTACAGGGATTCTCTGCTTCAAATAATTGCCTACCCGAGCTACAACTGTGGAACGTTTATGCCAAAATCGACCTTTCAGACTAATCTTCACAAATGGTCCATCCAATTCCGCCAATTCCACCACTCCTGAGTCACTTTCTTCTCTCAATTTATCGGAACTTCAATATCGAAAACTTGTAGTGCGGCAGAAACTCGCTAACCTGTAATGCCGACGGAGGCGTCGAAGATCTGTGCGAGCTCCGCACGAGCGTCACCCAATGCCTGTCTCACGTTATCCTCCGTCAGATCCAGAGGCCGATTATCTGGAACTGCCGTTGCCGAAACCACGAGTTTCGGTCTCCGCGATTCGAGCGGCAGCAGCGTCAGCGTCGGCGTCCTGACTCTCAGTCGCCAACTGTACGAAATTGGAGGAGTTGAAGTGAAGAAGGTGGCGGGTACTGACGATGGCGACGGTGATAAGGCGATGTTGTGGCGGAGAAATTGCAACTGTAGCCGCATCGTGATTCTGAGGATGAGGGTTCGGTTTGTTCTGCAACTTGTGGCTCAGATTCGAAAGTGCGCCCTTTTTCTTCCACTTGTTTTCTCTCATCTTTCTGCGACTTTCATTGATTTAAAAAAATGGACACAAGTTTTACCGCTGTGATTCCGAGGAAGATTACAGAAAAGAAATCTGAATTTTTCACTACAAAATAATTTTTTGTTATTTCAGAACAAAAGATCATACATTTGAAAATTACGATTACCCAATTTTTCATACAATATTTCATTCGAGTCAATATGAGCAAAGTACAATAGATAGAATATGAACAAGGTCGATGCTCAATTTCATATCATATTCATTCAAATTGTTAAATTGTTCATTAGAACTGAAGATTTAGTTGGGGTTTCAGAATGATTCAAGTAATTTAAGGTTCGACCACAAATTTGGACAGTAGAAAAGCAAGGGCGTGAGAAAGCATTGATGCCATTGCGAATCATGGATTTTGGTTCTACAAAACAAACTAATGCCTAGAAGAGCCTATCAATTTATTGCTGCTCCATTCATCTACAGATGAGAAATATGAACACTCTATATCCAATGACATGACTCACGCCTCGTTATCCAATTTGTTCCACAACCGGCATACCAAAAAATTTAAATAACTAAAATGGCAATGGCATTGCACCAGACTCAGACTTAATTAAGCAATAGCAGAAAAGTACTCTTTGCTACCCTTGGGGTCTGGCTTCATCGACTTCTCCCCAGGCTTCCATCCAGCAGGGCACACTTCATCTGGGTTCTCCTGCACGTACTGCAACGCCTGCAACAACACCAAAGAGAAGGAAAATATACACAGGATATGAGATCAAGAACCCTTGATATCACTCAAAAGCCAAAAACAATAGTTGGCCTAGAGGATGAACTGAATTTCAGTCTCTTTTCATTGCAAATTCAAGTCCCAATGGGTAGAGAGGAAGAAGTGAATTTGAGAAGACAATTACTTGGAGAGTTCTTTTCGTCTCATCAACGCTCCGACCAATAGCAAGATTGTTTATTGTGGAGTGCTGGATAATTCCTTCCTTGTCAATAATGAAAAGGCCTCTCAGTGCGATTCCCTATTCATTAAAATGTTGCGGGACGGAGGTTAGATGAGCAATTACAACGATGTCATTTCTATACATCTATTGCAGAGGTAAACTCAAATAATGCGCACAAAATTGATAATTCATATGAAATATTAGGATAATCTCGCACCTGATCTGGGATCAGCACACCAAAAGATTTTGAAATTGATTTAGTGACATCAGAAACCAGTGGATACTGAAGATCACCAAGGCCACCAGACTTTCTATCAGTTTGGACCCAAGCAAGATGTGAGAACTGCAAAAAGGATTCTGTTAGTATCATCACACTTCACAATCCCCGATTCATCGCTGAAAATAACTGTCTAATTTTGAGGAATAGAAGTAGAATTCCACCAAGACAAAAGACTTCTTCTAAAAAATATCACTGTTGAACAAGAGAAGCAAGTAGAGATACTCACAACACTGTCAACAGAAACACCCAAAATTTCTGTGTTTAGCTGCTTAAATTCTTCATACCGGTCACTGAAAGCAGTAATTTCTACAAAATAGGACGTAAAAGAAACTTAGGTTGAAAGCAATTAAAAACAGTATTTACTGTACTTCAATTTGGCATAGTTTAGTGTAGCAAACCTGTGGGACAAACAAACGTAAAGTCCAATGGGTAGAAAAAGAGAATCACATATTTCTTCCCAATGTACTCGGAAAGTTTAACCTGAATAGTAATACTTCAAATAAAATAAGAAGAAAACGCAAGGCGGCCAGTAAACATAGAACTATGATGATAATGTAAAATAAATCAGGGGTCCAAATATTCTGGATTAGAAGTATTGTATACAGCAGGAAAATTCTTTATCGACTTCATGATTGACATGGCAATTACAACCCTAAACACTTGAAAGATCACATGAGGATTGTTCTTGGCAGTTTATTGAACTGTATATTCCTCTCAGATACCCCAATATGAAAAATAAGTACCCCAGAAATTTGCGCATAATCTTGAACCATGACTTTTATAGGCTTACTTTAATTCTGATTTTAAAAAACCATTGCATTTAATGTATATCCAAAACCAAAGCCATTGAAAAGTACCTTGATAAATTCCTGATCAAAAACTGCCTCTGCCTCAAAATCTGGTGCTATGTTTCCAACCAATGGGAGTTCACTCTGTAAAGGTAAATAATGAAACATAAAGTAAGAAGTGGAACCCTCAAAAGTAAATACTTCACATAGTCCCATTTTGAGTAAAAAGAAGCTGATTTCTGCCTTGCACGTAATTCATGCATATAAAATACAAATGGGTTAAAAAGTGAAAATCTTTCCTCTAAACTTCTAAGAAAAATACCAATGAAGTACTCCAAAAACACCTAAAAATGAACTGGTTCTAGATATGTTTTTTTAAAATTTAAATTGCCTATCATAGCCAAACACCATGAATACTTTAAATAAACACTTTTTATCAGTCCAAAAGTGATTCAATCTCGAACTCACTCTCGCATGACTGCAGCAATAATTTGAAAACATGAAAAAACTAAATGAACATAAGGAAGACAGAGGAGAACTTTTCAGAAAAGTGTATTTGAAAAGGCTACATTTGGGGGGAATCATAATGGGAATAAGTTCGACTTACAAAATTTTGACGTAATGCAAAAAGAATACAAAAGAAAAGGCTAATTCTTCCTCATCTGCCAACACTCAAATATGTATGACTAACAGGTAAATGCTCCATTGATAATTTTCTATAGAAAACATAACTAGTCAAAACAATCCATCGCAATAGACAAAAAAAAAAAAAAAAAAAAAAANAAAAAAAAAAAAAAAAAAAAAAAAAAAAAAAAAAAAAAAAAAAAAAGGAGCAGTGAGAGAGGTATCACTTACAGAAGCCCGGACAGCAAAGCTCCGTCTGGAACGAGCGCCACGGGTGGAGGAGAATGAACGAGGAGCTGAAGACTGGAAGGATTTTCGAAGGCCGACGAAAGATTTGGGAAGTGCTAGGGTTCGGGAGAAAGGGGCGGAAGCAATGGGAGCAGTGGACTTGGTCGGAAAGGCGGAAGGATTGGAGGAGATAAGGGCAGAGGAGGCGGCGGAGCAAGCCATGAGGGAGGATGAAAAAGGGGGAATCTGCAGCGCAAAGTCAGTCTGAGGCGTAGAAATGGAGAGTAGGGGATAACTTTAACCGCTAAACCTCCACACGCTTGTGGGGGCAATCTCTGGGAATATCTGTTGGTCTAGCGTCCAGAGGATAGAGAAGACAAAGGGTAATATGGTAATTGTGTATCTGCTTTTGGGCTTACTTGGATACTTCTGTTGCTCGGCCCATTTAGAAGCTCGTGGATCTTAGGCCCATACCCCAATTTCTCTAATTCATTTTTAACTTGGAATAAAATTGATAACAAAAAGGAGGATAAGTAGGTCGCAAATAAAAAGAGAATAAATTGAATACTAAAAAAGATGGACAAAAGGGTCACGGAATAAAGTATAAGAATGGGGAATCATTTTTAATTACTCCTTCCATTTCTTTATTCGGCATATTAGAAAATATTTCCATTTTTAAAACACTGATATTTGGCATCTAAATCAAATCACTACCCAAATTTGCTTAAGAAAATAATAATTATTTGGAAAGTGGCTTACCAATTTGATGTTTCTGAATCATTCTTTGAATCTAAAATTAATCATTCATATTATCAAGACCTTGTCCTAATAACATGTTTAAATAGTTACATTTATGTGCATACTTTTCAAATATACATAATTATCGCTGAAGTTTGGAAGTTGAGGGTGAATTAGTAATGAGATGTGGAGTAAATGTAGTGGGGATATGGAAAGGGACAATTTGGGAATTGGGATGGGATCCATGAGTCATAGAAGGAGTGGCATTGGCAGAGCCACAAAGAAAAGAATCCCAAAAGTAAAGCAAGGCAGTTGGGGGAATGGATCATTCGTAGACATAGTTAGTTACGGCCACACACTGAAATGACTTTCGTTTCCCTCTCAAATCGATGTGAGATTTATAATGTTTAACTTGACTATAATATTTTTATTACTCCTGAGTCGTTTAAAAATTAATAATGCAAAAGAAATGGAATAGATTCTTTGATAATTCAAAAGTAAGAAAAAAAAAGTATTATTATTGTTTAATTATAGCATTGAATATGAAATATGGTTTCATTAATGTCACCCTATATCATATTCACGTCCAATATTATTGTGTTGAAAATTTCAACATTGAAAGTGTGTGAATTCGTTTTGATGTAAAGAGAAGAGATGAATAAATCAATATTATGAAGGGGGTCGATTAGAAGATTAAGATTAATGTAATGGCTAATTATATTTTAAATTAAAGGGGGAAAGAAAAAATATGCTTAGAGCACCTGAAAATAATAATTAATGAATTGGGAATTTGAAAAATAATATGTTGTCTCTGCCCCTTTTTGAGAATTTAAAAGAAAAAGTATGAGGCGCTGGTGTTAAAAGAATAATAAACGATTGAGACAATTTATTTATTTATTTTATTTATAGTGCAATAATTGATGCTTCTATTCCTAATGCAATTACGCGCCACCCACCCAGAATCACATAATAACTATGTCTCTTTCTTCTTCTTCTCCTGCTTCTCTCCCAGTTTCCACCTAAATTAAATTCATCTCTCTCAAACTCTCTGTTTCCGCCGCCATGGACCAGACCTCCGCTCTGAAACCAGACCCACCGCTGCCCAATCTCCGTCGCAGAAACTCGATCACGGTGCCCGTCGTCGTGTCATCTAAGCTAAACCTTCTCGCCGCCACCAAGTCCTCCCGTGGTGTAGCGTCATCGCCGCCGCTACCGTTGGCTTTCGAGCTCGTCCCAATAAAATCCTCCTCCTCCTCCCCCTCCCTTGCCTACACTTCCCTCAGAGACATTTTGCCCTCGGCTACCGCTATCTACTCCCCTACCGCCGCCTCTGCAGCAAATTCCGGCTACGAGATCTCGATCCGCAACCGCCTTGTGAAGCAGGCGGCGTGGGCCTATCTTCAGCCCATGGCCTCCTCCCCGAGCTCCTCTGGACCCCACCTCCTCCACCGTATCTGGCTTAGATTTTCAGCTTGGCTCAGCTTCGTCAACCTGCCCATAATTTCCAGTATAACCAACGCTTTTAATCGAATATTTCGCGTTGTTGGGGTCAGTTTTGTCTAATAATGGTGATCGGGGGAAATACAAATCAGCTCTTCTTTGAGTGAAATCAGTCATATGTTTCTATTCTATGCTGTGTATTGATGATTATACACACGTACACCTCTATGACTGTAGTCGAAGAAGAAGAAACAAAAAAATAAAATAAAATAAAAAGGTATGTAAATATTTGAAGAAAAGTTCCAAAATGAATCTGTCCTTTGTCTTCCTTTGGTTGGGGACAGGGTTTGCAGTTTTTCTTGTCCTGTACAGTTTTGTTTGGCAACTTCTAATGGGTCGTTTTCGATCCTCTGAATCGAGCTTGGTAGTGATTTTGATCTCTATAAAAATAGTTTGTTTGGTCGTGGAGGGGAAATTGCACATCAAATTCCTCCGCCGTGGTTGTGGAACGCCGACGACTGGAACGGAGCAGAGTAGGGGGACTTGGAAACCACTTCCTGGCCTTACTTCTGCCCGAGTCTTTGCTCTGCCTTGGAGCTTGCCGGAAGAATGAAGGCAGGTCGTTAGGAGGTGGAGGTGGCGGCGCGCTTGAATGTTGATGGTGCTCGTTCCTCTGCAAAATGTAAATTTATATCTCTAATTAAATGGGTATAGATATGCTCTTGCCGGGTTCAATTCCTGGTAAGGTTTTTGTAAATGTCTACAGGCAATGGAAAAATGAGTGCTGTTTCGTTCTATTTTGCTGCTAAAACTAAGAGGGCTGTTTTCCTTTCCCTCAAGGAGGAGGATTAGAACGTTACCCTGGCTTGTGGGGCTGCTGCAGGCTTAGAGGCCATGTAATTAATAACTTGGACGATAGCAGATTGGCTCAACTCAGTGCAGTTTCTCCAGTAGAACAAGGCCAAATCCCAGGCCTTGACTCTCCAGTCCACCATCTTCTGTTCAATATCTATTTCGTGATTATCTACCAAGGGCCGTAGCAAAGTGTGGAACACATAGCCTGTTCCCTGCATTGTTTTAGCCGTCCCCATTAACAAACAGTACAGCTTTGCCCACCTTTTAGAAAGTTGTGTTCAAATTAGAACTAACTACTTTACGCTATTCATAGATTAGGTGCTCTGGATATGTCCTGTGTTTTACATCTTATCCTAGAGCTACTCCCAGAATAATTCACTCATTTTTCTTACCTTAGTCTTTGGATACCACAAATAGATAAACAGAGCCAGCTTCAGTTCTCCATACATGGGCATCCTTCACAAAGGTTTTGGAACATAAATTTTGAGCGCAGGTGAAGTGATGAAAAATGCGACACAGTTCAAATTCCTCAAGGAAAAAGTGAGAAAAGAAAAGAAAAGAAAAGACGACTACACATACCATGCGACTAAAGTGTCAGCAATCCTCTCAACAACCGTTAAAATGGCCACAATGATCCTGAAATCAATTAAATAAATAGGAATTCAATTTAAAAGTAATATAATCAATAACAAAGTGGAGTGAAAGCTACTCAAATTCTAGTTCAAAGCAGACAAAGACAAAGGCAAAGGCCAAAGCCAAAGCAACAAAGAGCGTCGAGAAAACCCTTTCCACTTTTATTCCAAAACACAAAAATCTAAGGCAATCATCATTCATCAAAGTTTCACCATGAAAATCAACGATAATAAGAAGGATTGGAACGTAATTTGAGAAATAGATCCTTGATTATTAGGAGAAATAAAACTAGGCAACACTGCAGATCAGGACAGAAATTATCAACCATTCCACCAAATGGAAGTGCAAGAATGGATTCGTTGTTACCAAAATTGACACCAGAATTGAAGCTCTCGGATATGAATCCGGCTCTGCACAACCGTTTTGTAGCATTGAAACGCTGGATATGCATAGCCGAACAGCATCCTACATTGATCATCCTTTGTCAATCACTAAATTCACCTCAGAATATCAAAAAAGAGAATCGAAGAAACCAAGAACTTACAGAAGGCATCGAACCATTATTTCTCCCAACATTGTGAATCGCTAACTCACTACACAACACAAGCAATACACAAATAATTCCCGCCAAATTTTACCTGAAACGGAGTTCAACAACAGAGCACAAAACATTCAATGAAAACTCAATCCCACGAAAATCGACTCAAAATCCAATATCCAGAGTCCCAAAACCGTAACCAGTAAATAAACAAGATTAAACAAAGGAAAAGGTAGAAATGAGTTACCGTATCGGGGCAGAAAATAAAACTCCGCCAGTTTAGTTCCGAATCCCCAAAATTAGTTACAGCAGACACTGCCAGCAGAAGTCACATTGAGGGAATATTGTCCGATCAGAAACCAATGCAGAGCCGAAAGCTGAGGAAGACAAGGAGGAAAGAGCGAAAGTGGAGTTTGAAGGCTTGGGAGAAAGGATTTGAGATGGCGTGAAGGAAATGGAGATTGCGAGAGAGAGAGAGAAAGAGAGAGAGAGAGAGGATTTCTTGCGGCGGACGTCTTCGCCGATCTCTTGCACGCGATTCAGTCAGAGGCGAAGCGGATTTTCTCGGGATTCTTCTTTAACAAAACAAGTTTAGTTCTCCAGGCATTGGGAGGGTATTCTGGTACTTTTGTACACCTCAGATTTATTTATTTTCACGGTGTTTCATGTAATTTTTTTTCTTCCATTTTTTATTATTTTTTAAACAAATTATCCCTTTTAAATTTTAATCGATAAACTTCTATTAAAAAAAATATAAATATCTTAATAAATTTAATAATATTTTATGAATAAAATTATAATTAAAAGGGTAATGGATCTTTGTGCTCCTCATATTGAATTTTGTTTATTTTTATACAATATCTTAATCCATTTAAATTATATATAGGAGAAAATGAAATTTGAATAAAATGAATTTAAGTGCAAATTTCATTTGGGACATCAAGGATTGGGTCTAGAAATTTAGATGGATTCGAAAGATGTCATCTTAATCTATAAACACTAACGAGAAACTAAAAAGTGCAACACTTATTTGAACTTAGAGTTCACTTCAGCTTCTTGGAAGAAGGCGTAGGAGCTAAGGGCTTACGGCGAGAAGCCATGTAGTTAACAACTCGGAGCAATGCAGATTGGCTCAGCTGGGTGCAATTGTTCCAGTAGAAAATGGCCAAATCCCAGGCCTTCATTCTCAAATCCAGCAGCATCTTTTCAATATCCTTGTCATTTTTATCAACCAAAGGCCTCAACAACGTGTCGAACACATACCCAGATCCCTGCATTGTTTTTTTATTTCGTTATTTTACAAACAAACAAGCATCAAAGGGATCAAATTGAAGCTTCTTATTACCATAGTCTTTGGATACCACAAGTAGATAAACAGAGCCAGCTTCAATTCTCCATACATAGGGAGCCATCCCACAAAAGCGTCAGCAATCCTCTCAACAACTGTTAGAATAGCCACAACGATCCTGCATCGCCACATTTCAGTGATTCTAACCCAAAATAAGCTTTCAATTACTGAATTAACATGAATTGGTGGAGTCTTTGTTACCAAAATTTACACCAATATCGAAGCTGCTCGACTTGAATTGGGGCCATCACCACCGCTTTGTAGCACTGAAATGCTGGATATGCATACCCAAACAGCAGTCTGCAATTCAAAATTCATCATCAACAACCATCGACTTCAAGTTCATACACAAACACAAAGCACAGAAATCCAATAACTCACAGAAGGGATCGAGCCAGGAAATCACCCAACATGTTGTGTGTTTCTATTTTGAATTCAAGAACAGAGATTTGGGAAAGGATTTGTGATGAGATGAATCAAAAGGAGAAATAAATACAGGTTTTATAAGAGACGATTTTCTTGATTAATCCGTTTTGTTGCCCATGATTCAGTCAAACCATGTATAATTAATTAAAAATTAACCAAACCTTGTTTTATTGTATCATTGTTATTATAATAATAACAACAATAAAATATGAGATTAGAATTGGATAAAATTTGAGTAATTTGGTCGTCATTTCGCATGCATTTCCCTGCTTCTTCAATATTCAAACATAACCAAATTGAAATAGTCATATGAGTGTATTTTAAATTTGAATATGTCAATTTCTTAAACCGGAAGAAATTGGTTTATGATCATATACTATTTATCATACACGTAACATGGGTCCATCCAACAAAATTAAATATTATTTATATTTATATTTAAAGACCTACAACCCAAACTTACCACTGATCTAATGCAATTATGCAAGGGTGTGTATTTATTTATTTATTTATTTATTTATTTATTTAAAGAAATTGGTTTGGGTGGCATAACCTATTGTGGAAGTCCTCCCTTTTTCAACCTATCTCTTTAGTCCGTCGAGAGCCAAAGCTTGTTGGGTGAGACCAAGAAAAAAAAAAAGGACCGAATGAGGAGAATCATGCATGATACTTCTTGACTATGTCTCTGAGGGACAATTAAACTAGTTACTCATTAATGCTGCTAGGTTAGACAAGTCAATAACTCAAACGTCTTCGATCTGTTCTTTGAGATGAAAAGTTGGTTAAGATTTTTCCGTACAAAATTTCCTTATCGTGAGCGCTCGTGACATTGGTTTAACAATTTTTTTTTCTAAAAAAAGAATTATTTTCACCAATTTGGTTAAACAATGATTGAAGGCATTGGTTGGCGTTGGAATTATTGAATTATGAATTGGTGGGATTGTTAGCTAAAGGACAAGCACTCCCCTCACGGACCATACAACTTTGTGCCAATTATTATTTTTATCTTTTTAATTTCTACTCTCCACAATTATTAAATAAACAATAGAAATACTATATATTTCTAAAAACAACAAATATAGAAAATACACATTGTTCTTCTTTTTTCTTACTTTATCAAACAAAATTAATTAATATTAATATTAGGCATTAGGAACCGCTTAAAATTTCATCATTTTGTGCTTTCCCAATGCCTAATATTAATTAAAACACTCTTAATTATAATATTTACAAAACAAATAAATAAATAACTCATATTGTTTCTTAATTAAATAAACAAAAATAATTAAATTTTGGATCCGACAACGTCATCATATCGTGTAGGACCCACCAGTCGTAGGATTTATATACTACGCCTCAAAACAATCCTCTCCGCCATCCCCTTCCTCCCCCTCACTTTCTCCTCCTCCGCCCACAATGGCCGCCGTAAAAAAAAAGCTTCTCCTCAATACCATCTCCGTCGACATTGGCTGCAGCAGTTGCCGAAAGCCTAAGTCCATCCTCTCACAGATCTTCCGTTCCAAGCCCAAGTCCCGAGCCCCCAACTCCGACCGTCGCCTCTTTCGGTCGCCATCGAGCTTGTCGGAGAAGAAGCTGAGCGACGTAGATATGGGCTACAGCCCTGAGATAGTCGGAGGCGGGTTCTGGAAGATCGGTAGCGCCAGCGTGGCGGTGGAGAAGGATTCTAACATTCCGTATATGGATTTCCGACATTCGATGCTACAAATGATTTTGGAGAACGAAATTTACAGTCAGGAAGGTCTTCGAGAGCTTCTTAGCTGTTTTCTTCATCTCAATTCCCCTTGCAACCATGGGATTATAATTCGAGCTTTTGCCGAGATCTGGGATGGTGTATTCTCTGCCAGAGCAGCAGCGCCCACGGCGGCGCCTGCTAAACAAAGACGCCCTGTCCGCTCACGCGCCTTCTAACCCACGCCTCATCATCATGTTTTCTCATTGGTCGATCAGTTTAGTTTTTTTCTTTTTTTCTTTTTTTGTTGGGTTAATTTTCAGAAAATCGGTTCATTTTTGGGATGTTGACGGAGTAGGCGGGAAGATGTAACTATTGCCTTTTTGTCTTTTTAATTTAGCCAACTTTATTAACATTATTTTAAAATAAACAATTTCAATTAAAGGTCTAACAAAAATCTTAATTTAATTTGGACCTAAGTTCCGTCATTCTAGCATCTATATCAACCGTGTAACGGTTCAAATCCATTGTTAGCAGATATTAACTTATGTGGATTTTCTCTTTCAAATTTATACTTAAGGTTTTTAAAACGCGTTTGTTAAAGAGAGATACATTTTTATAAAAAATGTTTGGTTTCACTATGTGGGATCTCCCAATTCACTCCATTTCAGGGTCTAATGTTTTCACTATAGCCCGATGTTCATCTTTTAGAGGCCTAATATTTTTGCTCGTGTTGGATGAAAATCCCACATCGGAATACTATCTCCATTAGAACAAGGCATTTTGGGGAAGACTAAAGTAAAATCACGAAAGCTTATGCTCAAAGTGGACAATATCATACTATCGTGCAGATCCGTGCTAACAACTCTAATATCATTTGTAATAATCCATGATAAGAGAAGGTAGGGGTGGAAAAAACAAAAGAGATGATGAATGGGGGGAGGGTGAAGACAAAGTTGAGTGAAGAAGAGGACAATGCTTAGACGAAGAAAATAAAAGGGTCAGAAGTGTCGGGCAAAGGAATGAATGCTGTTTTTTCTAAGGCTTCAATTTGTATGCCAAAGTGTACTCTGCTATTTCAATCATAGCATAAAAAGTTGTTTTATTCACTTTTTTTCAAAGCTTCCCAGAAGCGTTTGATTGTTCCCCCACCATGATTACAAGGCATTCTATAGCTGCATAAACCTCAAAGCTATGAACTCGAATGTCCACATTTGTGATCACGCGGTCAAGGTTGGCATCATTTTAAAGCTATGTATGAGTAGGTGCAGAAATTGAGATGCAGAAACATAAATATGAGTGTAGTGAAAGAGTGAGCGGGCAGTGAGCAGTGAGCAGTGCGACATGAATGATAGGGCAGAGAGAGTTTAAGGAGATTCAGAGATAACATTGGAAAATGTAGAAATTGAAGCCTCCATAGCCACAGCTAGCTGGACATCACTGCCTCTGTGGCATGCATTTAACTCACTGCTTCCCTTCCTCCGTACTTAATAATGCTTGTTTTACGTCCACTCTTTCCTCAATACCGTGTCTCTTTAAGCCTCTTCACTTTTTCTTTCTTCAATATATATATATATGTTTATATGCGTTTGGTATCATAGACAAACATTTGTCACTCAAATGTCCGACGACGTCTTATCGGCCCACTTTGTGTCCAATTTTCAGCCCATGTGTTTCATCAAATGGGCTTGGTTGGGGAATCATTCATGTACGCCCAGCCCAGTACGTGTTCTTTAAGCCCATCTTTTTTGGTGCTCTCTTCTTTAGTCTCTTTAAATTCATTTCTATAGTCGTGGTTATGGAATCAAAATATATCCCACAACTATTGGTAGAGTAAGCTACGCCATCTTTCTCTTCTCTTATAAACAAACTAGTAGCTTTAATTTGGAAATAAGTTCCGACGAAAGACGTGAGGATCTCTCTTCTTTTTCTTCTCATGCTTCAAACGTGGACAAGAACTTCATCACAACTTTATCATGTCATTTCTCTTTTTCAAAACTATTTTTCTCACTATGCCTTTTTTATACTCTTCTTTCTAAACGGCTTACGAGATATTACACCAAAGGCTTGAGTGAACAAGAGAAGCTATCGAGAAAGTACCAAATGTTGACGGCTTATGGAGTGCATTCATATGTTTTTTTAGTTGACATATTATTTTCATATATCCCGTAGTTGTAAAGGCAATTCTTTCCGACGTTACATGTGTGTAGCGGTTACAAAGGGTTATATAATTGGATGCATGTGAATTTGAAATTGGGAATTGGAGGGAAAGGATAGGATAAGGAAGATGAAGTGATTCGATTTTATGGGCGAAAGGGAAGACAGCATTAAATGCAACACAAAAACAAAAGATAAGTTGGAAAATGTAAAACACAGAGAGACACACACACACACACACAGGCTTGTACGCTGTTTGGTCACAATCCTTCACTTCAACCAATAATAAATGGATTCCTTTTCTTTCCTGTTCTTCACTAATTATCATATTAACACTCATGATTAGAACAAAATCAAAATGATTATGTTTTGAATTGTGGATTTGAATAAGATTAAACATCAAACCCCACATTAATTAATTATATAAGATAATTAAATTTCCTAAGCTTTTTTAAAACAATTTAAAGAAATTTATGGATAAAAAGATAGGAACTTTTTTATATTTTTTTTTAACCCACCTTACAAATTTCCATTTTTTTATAATAAAAAAATCAATATTTTTTATTTTGATTTCAAATTAATTATTTATAGGCAATTACAAAATCTGAAATTTGAATGCAGGGTCCTATTGAAAACTATAGATTTTTTGTTTTTTTTTTATTTTCATTTAAATTAATTACAGGGTGTTAACATGAAAATAGCCTATAAACATATCACTGCAGTGTGCAACTATTAAATTTAGAGGATAAAATTCAAAATTCAAAATTTTAATTGACCATAGCTATTTAAAAAATAAGTATAATTTCATCTGACAAGAAATAAACCAATCTATAGTATATATAATACAAATAGGGTCTACTGAAACTGCCAAATTGATAACGACCTTCCAATTTTAAAAAATCAATGGCTCTCATTGTTCAGCGCTATATACCTGAGAACTTTTGCCTCTTCAATCCTCCACGTGTAAGGCATCCAATGGTGCATTAATCACTCAAACTTTATTATACCATGAGACGTGTTGCAGTGGATCAACCACCTAACCTTAAAATAAATGAATTTAATAATGAAGAAGAGTTGGTCGTTTTTATAGATTTGAGGGTATCAGACTGCATTAATGACAGAATGCCGTTAAAGGGAAATATCAGTTTTTATAAATAAATAAATAAATAAATAATCACTTTAAAAGAAAAAAAATAATAATTTGACTACATTTATTTTTTTGGAAGAATAATTCGACCTAATTTGACCTTACCTCGTATTCAATCAATTATTAATAATAATGTTTCAAATATAATGCTAATGTAGTGTTTTTCATAAATAATGTTTCCATATAAAAAATTACGAAAAATATATTTAAAAAAACAAAAAGGAAAAAATAATCAAAGATTCCATACCTATTTTATTTTATTGTTACATTTTAACGAAGATTTGGTATGACTAATATTTTAAAAGTATTTAATGTATTTATATCAAATTTAAAATTAGATTTAATTAGGTTAAGTTTAGAATTTAAAAGTAAAACACCAAAAATTTATTTTATGAATAAAAGATTTTCAATTTCTAAAGAAAAAATGTTTTTATAAATTATTTTGATCTGTCCACGTGCAAATTCGTTCTATTTTAGTTCCTAAAATTTTAAAATATTTATACTATTTTAGCCTTAAAAACTTTAAAATGGGAATTTTATTTCAATATCAACAAATCAAATAAGTTGAAAGTACCTAAATATTTATTAAAAAATTAACTAAAATAAAATGAGATTCAAACATAAATTATGTAGCCGCTAATATTATAACACATGGTGGAAGCCATAAGAAAATAATTTGTATTTACATTCTAAAAAAACGATTAAATTTTTTTTTAAAAAAAAATGAAAATTAAAAGAAAACATGATGATGATGATGTTCATCTAACGAAGTGATCTCCTCAATCTCCATGGATGACGATGCACAAGGTAAGAGTGAAGAAGAAGAAGAAGAAATTGATGAAGAAGCCGCCGCCGCCGCCGCCGCCACTGCAAGAGAGACGAGCAAATCGAGAAAAGCTCCAAGAATAAATCCATGGTTGTTTTTGCCATTAACACTCAAATACCAACTCAAAAGCTCCTCTAAGCTCTTCCAATCCCTCAGCCCATATGCCTCCACCATTTCCTCCATTGATTTCCTAAAATCCCAAAACGGATCATCGGAATCCATTGATACCACCGTTGTCCCTTCCTTCAATGGCGGCGGCACGGCCGCCTTCTTCTTCTCCTCTTTTAAAATCGACCTTGATTTTCCGGCGGGCTCGAAGAGAAGCCTCTCCGTCGACCTGAGGCCTCGAATCATTCTCTCAATTGGGTCACCGCCGGAGCACTCGGACACCGTCGAGAGGCTGCCGGATGACTCGGAGGAGAGTGTGAAAAAGGAGTCCGAGGATTCTGTTGCGGTGGCGGCGGCGGTTGTCCGGAAAGAGAGGGTTCTTGGCTGCCGACATGACGGCCAGGGCCAAGCTGACTTGTCGTTGTGGTGGAGTCCTGAGGATTTGAAAAGAGATGGGAGCTTCATCATCATCACCATCATCTTCTTCTTTTTCTTCGTTAACATCTTCTCTGAAACTGATTTGGGTTTGTTTTCAAATTTGTTTTGGAGATTCAAAATGGGAGCTTTCTGAATCGGACATTAATGGCGGCTGAGAGATTTTGAAGAGGCAGATGGGAAATGGAGGGGGAAGGTGAAATATAAAAGCAGGGCTATTTAAGATTCTCCTAAATGAGTACAAACTAAATCTAATAAATTCCACCACTGAATTATTTATTAATATTAATTAAATATCACTAATAATACATTTTAAAAGGTTCAAAGTTTATATTTTTTTTATTTCAATATTTGTATATAAGTAGAGAAATTGATATTTAAATTTTTATAAATTTAAGATAAACTTATATGGTTTTCTCAGCCATCCCTAGGAAGTTTCTAATTTAGCTTTAAAAATGTATTAATTTCAAATCTTCATTAATAAACTTAATTGCTTATTACTAAATTAATTAGCTAAACAAAGTTTTTAACCATAACTTGATAAGAACATAAATAAAAATTGCTAAAATCCAAACAATTAACGTTGGCAATAAACAAAAGCCATTAAATATTTTGACGTAGTGCACACAAAATTTTATGAAAAGACAAAAAGATAACAAAAGAAAATTTTATGTCATAGCTTAAGTACAAAATAAATTCAAAACTTTTGGATTTTCTTTTTTT